CGTTAGGCGAAGGCCGGAAGGCGAGCCGAAGGTCCTGGACCAGAAGGTTCACGCGCAATCGAAAAGGCCGCTTTCCAAGCTGTATAATGATAGCCCTAGACCCACGGCCCTTTGCACGAGCGGCCCTGCCGTCCCTACATAATGAAGGACTTGGGACCTAAAATTAAGAACCTAAAATCCATGATTTGGGAAATTAAGGACTTGCAAGGGACCCAAAATTAAGGACCGGGACCTGAAATTGAGGATTTGGGGCCTCAAAGTAAAGATTTTGAGACCTAAAGGATTTGGAGCCTAAAAGTAGGGACGGGGACCTAAAATTAAGGATTGGGAACCTACAATTAAGGACCTGGCCTAAAATTAAGGAATTGGGACCGAAATTAAAGACTGACGCCTGAAATTAACTGGGACCTAAACTTAGGGACCTGGGGCCTGGCACCATTTGGGCTCTTCCCCGTAAGGGTCACTGACCTTGCCCGTAAGAGGCCTACTCATAAGGGACCTTCTCGTAAGCGCGGCCCATAAGAAACCTTGCCCGTAAGAAGCCTCCCCGTAAGGGACCTTCCCATAAGGGCCCCAAGCCTGATTAGACGTCCTTTTTTGGTCTACATACAGCACACAAGCGGAAATTCCAACCCATTACCTGTAAAGGCTCTTCCCCGTGAAGGCCCTTCCCCTCAACCGCACCCCGTAAGGGACCTTGCCCGTAAGAAGCCTCCCTGTAAGGGAGGGGCCAAGGGCCAAGGGTCCAGAAACGGCCCTACCCTCATTAAAAACGTTTTTTTCTTGGTCTACAGCGCACAAGCGGAAGGGAACCCATTTCCCGCAAGGGCTCTTCCCCGTAAGGGTCCCTGCAAGGGACCTTGCCCGTAAGAGCCTCCTTGTAAGGGACCTTCCCGTACGGGCGCCCCTTAAGGGGCTGAGGGTCCAGAAACGGCCCAGCCTGACTAACAGCACACAACCGGAAATTCCAACCCAACACCCGTAAGGGCTCGTTCCGGTAGGGTCCCCGAGGACCCTTCGTCGTAAGGGTCCCGTATATATGGGCCCTTCCCCGTAAGCGCGCCCCGTAAGGGACCTTGCCCATACGCCCTCCTTACAGCGGCCCTGCAAGGGACCTTCCCTCTAAGAGGTCTTCCCCCTGCCTTCCCCCAAAACTTTCGTATGTAAGGGGCT